GCCTGAAAACTGAGATGCAAAAAGGCATGGTAGGTGATGGGGGGCACCCTTGAACGCCGCCACCCTTTTTATGAGGCTTCTTGTGAAGATCGAAGGCAAAAAGAGATTTGGGGACAAGTCATGAGTTTTTTTGCCACTTTCAGCGGGTTTTTGGGTATCTTTTAAGCTGTTGATTTCGTGGCAATTACATAACGTCATAGCATCACAGGCATCTAGCCCCCCCAAACCCCAACCCCAACCCCTTTGCGTCAAATTGACGCTAAGCGTACCAATTTCGGCTATATAGTGTCTCCCTAATGATCAGGCAGGTGCACATTATCCCAACTGTGTGCAGCTATGTCGACACCCACGGGCTAGGGATGGTACCCGGGCTGAGGAAACCGGACCCGGGTATCCGGAGTTTCCAGAGCTTGGGTACCCGGGTGTACCCGGGTAACCCCGGAACACTCGATACCCGGGTAATCACGAATAACCGGGCACCGGAGTACAACCAGTTCCCGGAAACTGTTTTGCCGCGCGCTTGGCTGGCTTCTGTTTAACGGAGTCCACGACGACGGCGCTGTAAATGGTGCAAAGTTTGCGGACGGAGGTGGTGGCGCCCGTCCGTTTCCGCGCACATGGTATTTCGCGGACGGACGGGCGGTGTGTACGCGAAAGGGCGGGGTAGCAGGTCTCCCCGCGAGGGGGGTTGGGAGGCACGAGATCTGCAGCGGATCTTCGCTTATGGACGGCGACGTGTGGTGCCCACTCTGGCTTCTTGGGGGCGCCTATTGATGCCACTCGCGGGTGAATCAGGGCACCCGCAGGTGGCACCGTTCGGCGGCCGCGAGGAGCGAAAGTGGCTCCCACTCAGTGGGAGGTGATGTTCGGCCTCCCTCTCCCGCCGTTTTGTGGTGTGTTTTGCGCCCATGTTTTGCCCCCACGCAGTCCACCCCTGGCATTCGCCCCTTGTGGGCGAAAATTGATACCACTCGCGGGAGCCAATCAGGGTAGACGCAGGTGGTACCAGTCGGTGGCCGCGAGGAGCAAAAGGGCTGGACTGGGAGCCAGTGCTCGGCCTCCCACGCCTGCTGTCCCAATGCGTGTTTTGTGCGCAAGCTCCAGGCGCCGCGCAGGCCGTAGTTGACCTTTTGGCATCGGCCCCTCGTGGGCGCGGATTGATGCCACTCGGGGATGCCAATCAGGGCACCCGCGAGTAGCACCAATCGGTGGCCGCGAGTAGCAGCAATGCGGGAGTGGGAGCCAACGTTCGGCCTCCCACTCTCGCCGTTTTGTGGCAGACACAGCCACACACAGTGTGGAAGGGGGTGACGTTCGCGGAAACCAACCATTTGCGAAGCAACGCACTGAACGACCGCTGGTGAATTGCGCAGTACCCGGATAGTTTGGATACCCGACTGTACCTGCCTATACCTGGGTACGTACTCGCGTACATGGGTACACGTGTTGGCGGGTACCCGGGTAGGCGGGTACAAGAAAAAAAACAGTACCCGGCCCGGGTACCCTGGTATCCTGTACCCGGGTACCATCCCTACCACGAGCCAAATGTCCTGCCCTTGATCGAGCGGTGCTTTTCAACGATCGCCTGCCCCACGAGCGCTTGAGAATTCTCAAAGAGCATTGAACCCCATTTCGTTGCAATCGCATGGCTGCGTATTGCTGCATGGTTGGCCATACCCACCTGCGACGAGTCCGTGCTAGTCTTCGTTGCTACGGCTTGCAGTCACTCTTATGTTGATGCGCTTACCGTATTAGAGGCTGCATACCGCGTTTAATGCTTCCTCTGGCTGTCGTCTATGCCTTGGAATCAAATTTCAGTGAAAACTGAAGTTTCTATGAGTTTGGAATACGAGGGCAAAAATGGTCAGTCCGCTTGGCATTGAGGACATGGGAGCACTTTGCCGCAAGGGCATTCTTCCCAGAAATCTTGATCAAGAGCACTCATGAATGTTCGGCGTTGCTGCAGAGGGGGTTGCTTTCAGGAGCTCGCGTTTTGCAGCAATGAAATGGCGCCTGCACACAACTATCTACGCCCTTCAGAGTGAAGTTCGGCGCGTCGCATAATAGAAATACGGAGAGAGAAAGAAATATTTTTTAGTGTCTAATTGTTGAACATGTGGCTTACGTCTGCAATTTGAGGTCGATTCAATGGACAGCAACTGCTTTCCGGCTCCATACGCTGCTCCAAGACTTTTCGTCCTCCATCACCACAAGCAAGCCGTGTGCAGGAGACCCCCATAGGGTGCAAACACAAAGCGACAACCATCACCCCGATCAAGCGCGGACAATTAGTGGATAGGCCTCTGCGATGGTAATGGCGAATCGCCCTTGTTGTGGCCCTTCAAAACATTAGGCGCGAGAAGAATCGCTACATGAAAAACAGCGTGTCTCGAAGGAACAAGGACTCGATGGGCTGCGATGGATTGTGCACCACAGGCAAGAATCGGCTGCTAGTTGCCGTTTGTTGATTGTGGGCCAATTTGCGCATGAAGTCCTAGGTCCAAGCATCAATCAAGGCAGATTTTTTAACTAAAATTACAACATAACCTTGGAGACTTGGAGCGATAGCGCGGTCAGATCCCGAGCTTCAACGTCTTGAATCTCGAGTTTTTCTGCTCGTGGCAGGCTTGCGCATTGGAAATCGATATGGTCGAGATTTTCAAAATTGTAGATACCTTGACAACGGCTTTCCACATTGAGGATCCAAGCACAGTCCAGAGTGTCTCGCAAGCGCCATACCAACATACTAGACACCTCTCTTTGCCGCCACGGCGGCCACAACTTCGTTTGCCACATACAGGCACAGGAGTTGCCCGAGTCTGTGGAGACTTCAGACAACGCAGAATATGAATGCAAATGTTTTGGGCCAACGGAAGACATCGTTTTGAATTCTTTACGCTTAGCATCACATCGGCGCTGAGAAATCGCATAATTGCAGCAAGATCAAATGAAGGCAAGAAGAAGTCTAGACCGACTTGAAGTCATCACAAAGCACATACCAGAATGCAACAAAGAGTTTTGATGCTCAGAGCGCACACAAACAACAAATATTCTTTTAATTCAAGTCGCACATCAGTTTCAATGATAAGGGAATGCGATCGAAAATGCTCCATACTCGATGTTGTGGTTGCAGCACCACTCACGCAAGAGCTGGGAACCCACTGGCACAGTCCTGTACTTACCAGTCATGGAATTTTAGCGAATCTGGCTCGTTTGCAGCGACGTGGCTGATTTTCTGATGAGCATATGCACACGATCCTCTAAGCAATAGCTGCTAATAATTTGTTGTGATTTGTTTATTGCAGATTGTCGAGATTTGATTGTGGGCGCGTATGTTCTGCGATGATGCACGTACCAGTTTCCTGCTTTGTCGACCACGGAAGCGGGAGCATGAGCCCTGGGCATCCGTCACTGTTTCCCCAAGTTGTCGTGGTGCTGTCCAAGAGGCATGACGCTTGGCAGCACGGTAAGAGTGGGGCAATGTGAGCGGCACAGGGGCTGGGAGCCACGGGCGAAGGTATGTGGACACGGGCTCGACCACAGCGCCTGCAACCGCGATGATCGCGGCGCGTGTCACAGTTTTGCGTCTGTCACGGTTCGCTGTTGCGAGTACAACGGGGAACCAGCATGCGCTGTCGAGGGAGTGGGTGTGTAAGCGATTGGTTATTGGGTTGCAGTGAATGCGTTTTCTGCGTCCTGAACTGGGAAGAGAACTGCGCGCCGTCCTGAAGGCGTGGGCTGGACCACACCAGTGGTGCTGCATTCGTGCGTTCCAATACTCTATCGTTAAGTACTGCGATAAGCGTCAAAATAAGGACTAACGCTGGGGAGGGGGTTCTCTGTGCTCGGCGTCCAATTGACGCTAAGCACACAAATTCAAAATAGTGCCTTGCCCAAGCAATGTCAAATATCGGGGTTGGTCGCAGGGGCTCGGGCGGGCGGCTGGCCAGCCCGCTGGTAAGGGCTTGAAAGCCAATCTTCCGATTCTAACCTTTTGTAATTCAGTTGCCATTTCAGTAATGCAAGTTCTTCTCGCACAAAGACAACAATATGGATGGAGGAAGCAGCAAAATATGAGCGACTGCTTTGTGACATCACCACTACAGCGTGGTGACGGTGACGCGCCTGCCTGCAATCGAACGACACGGTCGTGCAAGTACTCTATGATGCCCACGGCGCCCTCGAGGGCAAGCAGCTATGAAACTTGTCGGAGTCGAGAGGGTTCAGTCAGCCCGCACTAGCAATTCAATGGCCGTGTCACGGATGCCATTTATATCATCCATTGTACCATAGTATAACTGGGTGTGGGAAGGCAGGGTGGGATTGTGGGGCATCAGTGAGCTCACTTTTACCTCATGCTGTAGTGTTCATGGTCAACACACCGCCCGCCCACGTGATATGGATTCGGCAACGTCAGCGTTTTGACGCTTCGTATTGACGCGAATGTGTCACATTAATGAAACATGATACAAACGCCCGTTACACAGGGGATACTTACGAATCGTTTCCAACATGCGGTGAATCGTTGATTTCGGAACTGCAGAATGACGGTCCCAGCCCCGAACCCAAAACTGGGCCAGCACTGACACAGCTGTGCGAATTTGCCTTCCTCCAAAACGCAATTTATTACTCGGCCACCTCAACGACTGGCAAAAGCGCAGGACTCTATCCACAACAGTACAACGCATGAATTCTATCGCATTTGCCTTCCCAGGCAGACACCATGCCCCCACGGGCCCCAGGCGATGACTATGGCCATCATCTAGATAACATTAATTGCGCCACCTCGGCTTCCTCAAGGCAGCGGAGAGCTCGCCGTTCTGATTGCGACGCTCTCGAAGGCGTTCGCTGCCACCCAATGTTTGCTGCTCGTCGTTTTCCCGGACACCTTGCTCCTGCATCGCATGGTCACACGACGTCGAACGGCACGATGCGTCACTCCCACACGACTGCAAACAACGCGACGAAGGCGCCCCCTGTTAAAACGCCGTTGCGCCCACCAGGAGCTCGTTGCCCATCGTCCTCTCCGATATCTTGTTCTTCAGGGAGCACTCGCTGGTCTCCGTGTTCCACGTCCAGGCAAAACAGTCAGGCGCGGGCGTGTCTGCATCGTTGAAATGTGCCGTGCACATTCTGCAGCACTCCTCCGCGTCGGTGGTCGTCAGGACCTCGATGTCGTTGCCTGGGAAGTCCACGCCCTGTTCCGCCTCACAGGGCGTGTCGTTGGGGAGAACCACGTTCAAAATATCTGGGTCCACCCCCTCCTCGTCCACGACGCCGCTGAAGAACGGACGGTCCTCTGGAATTTCAACCTGAAGCCGCACAGAGGGTTTGCGATGTTACACAGCCGCACAACACCCTTTCGGGATAAGCAAGTAAAACATGGGAGCACTTTATTCTGAGTCTTACACACACTTTTTTCAAGGTGTCGGAAAAATGTTGCATATCCTGGATATACATATCCAGGATATGGCAGTATCCATGGATATGGGCCCCCATATCCCGGGATATGACCATGTCCTCGTGCATATCATCGCCATATCGCAGAATATGGGGCCACATATCCTGGATATGGAGCATTCATATCCCAGGATATGGCAGCCCATATCATATTCGATATCCTGGATATGGGGGCCCTCCATATCCCATTCCATATCCAGGATATGCAACTTTTTCCCAGGGGGGTGCTACACAAAGAGAGCACTATTGATTTCATCTGGCTTGTCAATGTTTTCAGGCTTTGCAAGCCGCGTATTGAAATTTTCGCGTGTGGGTATGGGAAAAGATCATGTAATCCCAACAATGTTGTCGAATTTTCTTACCGACGCGTCGAGGCTTTCACCATTTACATCAGAATGAAGACACTAGTGAAAATGGTACCGAATGCAGTGCCAAGACTACATGATTTGGTTCCGTTTACAGGGCCAATACGTGTTTTTCTGCAATCCAGAACGACTTGACTACGAAATGAGGTTTGCGCAACATGATCAATGTTGACCACAGAAAGGACGGGGCAGCAGGCACATCCAGCATGATGCCGCTGAGGCATGCGCGTCGCCCGCTGTTCGCAAGTGAGCGAATCGGGCATGAATTAAAAGCAATCCTGCGCCCAGCCTTGGGTATGGCGAGTCAATGGGGCATAAAAATGAATAACACAACCTGGGCAGCGATTCAACTGTCGCCCTGAACTGTTGCATCAAATCCACTGATATCTCAATGGATTGAATGTGTACAGATTCGCACGACCGTCGGTGCTTGCCGCTCCAATTGCGGAAGCCGTCATGGCAGTTCCCCAGTGCAAACTGGCAGATGGGGCAGGATGCCGTGCCCATTTGAATCGTGCTTGAAGTAACACCACATGTGTTGGGCCGCGTTGTCCATGCTAATGTGGCAGGCGGAGCCATCCATGCAGGAACGCCCACGGGGAAGCATCCACATCCTGAGCCACGGAGGTTCGCATGGATTCATCCCATGGGGACGGGGGCTGACGCGTGCCGATGTGCTGACGTTATTCCATGCCAATGCACCCAAGGGTAGTGCGAGTTGCTGCATGTGTGAACGCGGAAGCGCGAACACGCACCTGCTGGGGAACGCTCATCTTGAGAGCGCACCCGCCGTTGAGCCCGTCGCACGCCCACGACCTGCAGCCCGGCGTCCTCTGGCACAGCGAGCAGCAGGTTGAAGGTGCCGTGACCAGCAGCACGCTGGCGTCGTTGAACGTAGAGCCCGCGCCGGGCCGCGACGTTTGATTGTCCACCTTGCACTCATCTTGGGTCGGGTTCTCGCAGCCCTCGGGATTCGTGAGGCAGCTGGTCCCGGACGTGAAGATGTTGACAGAAACCACCTGCAGGTTCGCAAGCGCTAAGTCGCGAGCAGAGGGGCGTCGGGGCCCTGAAGGAAGCCAGCTGCCGGGTCACAATAATCTCTGGGCGAAGCACGAAGGACGCGGGATCCTGGACGGCAAGTGACTCGAACGGCAACTCAGGCGGAAGGTGGGTCACTTTGAAACAATCAACAGGGCGGAATGCCTCTGGAGACCCAGTCCCAAACGAGCAGCGCGTGCTGACGATCTGGCAAGCGTCGCCAATTGGACAGTCCCCAAAGTCCCCAGGGCAACCGGCCCCCTCCCGGGGCCAGTGGAACAAACGCAGTACACACCGAACGCAGTACACACCTCTGGGCGAGTCTGTTGGCTGTTCTTGAGGACGCACTGCCGGGGCGTGCACTCGTCGGGGTTAGAGTCCGCCGGACAGTACGTGTAGGTGTTGCACGCCTCGGACGGCGACCCGCCCGCCGTGGCTTCGCACGCCTCACAGCACTCGCCCACGGTGTCCACCTCCAGAGGGGCACCCAGCACTTCACCTCCATACTCGGCGCCACCCTGCTCCGCGCACATAGCCATGGGCGGTTCCGGGGCCTCCATGGGTGGTTCCGGGGCCTGCATGGGCGGTTCCGGGGCCTCCTGTGGTGGCACAGGCTCGGAAGGCGGGGGGGTGGTGGGCTCCGGAGGGCCTTGAGGGGGAGTGGGTTCCCTGGGAGGGGCAGGAGTAGAGGTGACCTCAAACGAGGGCCCCTGCGGACCGGGAGAGGGGGTCCCCATCGGCGGAGGCGAGCGAACGGGAGGGGTGGGAGCCGGGGATTGTGGGGGCGGCTCGACGGGCTTGGTGGGCCGGCTGTCGCTCTTGCAAGGCGACGTGCTCGAGGGCACGATGGGCCCCCCCGTCGTGTAGCCATTGCTCTTGTACTCCCCGGAGTGGCGCCCTGTTCCTGGCAAATTTCCCGGGTATTCACCATCGTCGCCGGCCAGCGGGCACTCGTCCACCCGGCCTTCCTCAATCCTGACGTCGAAGCAGGAGATGTACTCCTCCGGCTGTCCACCTGAGTGTCCATCCACACTGGGATCGTCCGCCCTCCAGTACCAGTGAAATGTGTACATCCCCGGTTCGAGGTCGTAAGGAACGATGAAGCACTGACCACAAGCGTCGATCCCCGTGCGGTCACTAGAGGCACCAGCGCCCATCAGCTGGTCGTTCTGGCCATACATGGGGCAGTTTGAGTACCCCTTCATGTCGTCCACTCCAAACTGGCTCTGGCCAAGGAATGCAACAATGCGGTCCTTCTTGGGCGTGCTGAAGCCCCCTGGTGTGCCGAACAGCAACTGTGCATCAGCCATGCTTCGGGCGAAATGAAGAGTTCATCCAGTGAGCAGATGTTGACGACAACTTGAAGACAACAAGCAATGACGTTGTTGACTGTTATGGGCAATCCAAAATCCACAACTGGTGCACTTGCAATTGTGATGTTGTTTTCTGGAGTGAGAGGAAATCACCACTGACTGCACAGTGCTGGATGGACCAGTTTCCCTGCAGTTGGTGCTGCTCTGCAATCGCCATTCTGGCTAGAGTATCATCATGGCAGTCATCTTGTGGCAATCAAGAAAACAGTCTGCATCCGATCCAGCCAGTTGATATTCACAGGTTGCCACAAGGCAACACTGGGCAGCTCAACAGTTATCGTGAATCTGCTGAGCACGACAGCTGTGTCTGCCAGGTACAGCACGGGCATGAGCATAGCCGATGGGCACACTAAATGGCCCACCAGGCCAACAACTTGTGGTGGAGGCGACACTCACCAACTTCATGATCAAGCAGCCCTGACAGTGTTTCGTCGCTGCTGGGGTTTTTCTCCGACCTAAGGACATACAGTCCTCCATCAGGCACGTCCAATGTGTCGCTGTATGTCCCTCTCATTGACCTCCGCAGCATGGACGGCCAGATCTGTTACCACAGTGAAAACCAGCTTTACACAGGAGCAGGACAAGCCGAGCAGTCAGCACCACCGTGCCGTGACAGTATTCAGTGAGACGATTTTGCAAGACATAGGCGGCGCTGCAAGGATTTCTGAGTGCAACTGGAAGTTGTGCATTGCAGGAAACAACTCATTCAGCAGTATTAGTATGCAGTAGGACACAAACCAGTGTCATACTTCAGCAATGCCAGTAGTTGCACATTGGCCAAGTTGCCCTTGCTAGCAGCACATACAGCAATCGACAACTACACAAATGTGCTCAATCGTCTTGCTTGGACAACCAGATTACCCGGCTGAACTCGCGCATTAAGGTCTACGCTGTAGCCTGGGGCATTCTGGAGGCACTAGCTTGCAGTGGAATACTGGAAGCCAACACGTGAATGATGCTAGAATCCTTTGTTCACAATACCTTTCAAAAGGCAAAGCAGTTACTAAAGCATCTGATACGTTGCACCGCAAGGACATATGTACCCTATGATGTTCGTGACTGCCACTTGAGTTTTGGGAGGTTTCTGCACCAACAGCCAGAACATTATCTGCAACAGGCAGAAGGTTGCAAGCAAATTATGGCAGGCAATTGGCGACCGATGGAACTTGGGAACACGTCGATCACTAGCCGGCCACCCTTCACAAGACAGCGTGTGAGACGGCACGCACAGCAAGCTGACTTGCGCGAAGATTGGGGCACCAGCAACGCATCAGCGGCCAACCAAGTGACAGAAGGCCCCTCTTGCACCGCAACACATCACCCAAAGCGGAGTGGACCAGCAGCAAACGCGGGGGAGCCGACAGCTCTGGCAGCTCAGGGAAGGCGGTCTGCGTACGTAAAGGCGGTACGCAAAATTGCCGCCAATCCCCCGAGGGTCACAGGACAGCGCCGGGGCGCAACCACAGAAAGCGTCAGTACAGCTACCGTGCAGCGCCGCGTGCGGCCCTCACCAGACAGATTCTCTGCCCCCGCTTATAGGTGGCCATGGGGTACTGCTGGGAATAGAAGGACGCCAAATCTTGTCCCTTGCCCCTTGGGGCGTAGCGACACACGCTGTCGAAGCGCGCCAAGAACCTCGTCTCCGTCGCCAGCGGCCCGCTGGGTGAGCCGAAAGCCCCGCCGTAGTTCATGTACCCCCGCGGATAAGCAAGACACCTGGCCAAGCAGACAACCATGAGCCCGGCAGCACAGGAAAAAGAACGTGCGCGCCGCACCCGGAAATTGGTTCAAGGGATTCAGCCATCTTGTTGGGTACAGTTGCGCTGACGTACAAAGCGTCGATCAAGCTATATGCTGCAGCAAAGCATGCTCCACGGAGTGAAACGGGCCGTTCGCCGGGCAGGCAGGGAGCGTAACCGTGCTGGGACCTGATCTGCTGACCGTGCGCCGCAGATCCGAGGGAAGGCCCTTGGGGGCCGAATCTCGACACCACTCACTCGGAATCCCTGAATTGATCCAGCAACTCCGGGGCTGTGTAGTAGTCGTTTCCCTTGGGCACATCGCCGTGAGCGCAGGCCAGGTACGGAGTACCCGTCGACGGCCCATAGGATGGCGGGGGTGGCTCATACGACGGCGGGGGCTCCATTGGCCCATACGAGGGCTGTGCAGCGCCCATGAGGCACAGCGCCCCAAAGCTGACCAAGGCCAACCCCAGGCTAGACGCCATGGCACCCCCTTCCGCCCCTCGCTGGGCAGAGAAGGACTCGCTCGCTTGCACCTGGGGCCTCTGCGGCGGCGGGGAGCGGGGCTTGCAAACGCGCTATGCAAGGGTTGGGCAACGAATTATACCATACGAGCAGGATCACGAAGAAGGTGACGCGGCGTGAACATGCCACGAATCGTGCCCACACATGATCTGACGCATCAGCCCCCGGGAAGGCAAGGGGCAGCCGGGCACAGGATCTCACACAACGGAGCCGGGCTGAAGATGCGGTGCGGAATCTACCACACGCGCACGTCAGCGCGCTTCGCCCATTGGCAAACTCCCCATTGGTCGTCGGCGCGGAAGCCGGTCGGCATATGCACATGACCGACGAGAAGGAATTCTTTGCAATCTCTGAAGATCCCGTAGCCAGCACCAAATGCCCTTTTGGAAGTCGCTCCCCTGCGAATTCTGACGACCCAGCCTGACGTCCGAATATGCATGCCGTGGTGCAAGGGTCCGCTGCAACCTCAAATGCAAGGGGTGAAGGCGCTAACGGGGTCTCCAGCGTGGCAAGGGTGAGCACCCTGGCGGCGTGGTTGCCGTCTGCGCTGTGAAGGTGGCAAAGCAAAGGCGGGCGCTTGAATTGAAGAGGGAACTGCTGTGCCCAATCTTAGCGCGCGGAATGTGCATACTTAAAAGGACCCCTTCGCAAGGTGGTGGTGTTTTGGACCATATCACGGGCCCCGTGTCCAGCATCAATTGACCCCGTTTCCTGTCCAATCTTTCCCTCTCCGCCTTTGTGAGAGGAAGCCCAGCGCTTCTCACCAGCAGGAGGCTGAAATTGTGCCGCATTTCATACAATTGTGTACGGGTCTTCCCGATGTTGAGGTCAGCGTGTATTCTTATTCTCAATCAGGCAGAATCACGTCGACTTAAATCTATTGACATCAAGTAATCGTTCTATTTGTGGCAGCTTCAGGAGCATTGCGGTCACTCTGATACATGCCTCTGTGGAATGACCTGCAGGGTATCCGCTACCACATGGGGGCCAGGAATACAAATAAAGCGGCATAGCACACTACAGCCTGACAATCAACTAACCATTTAATTGTTCATACAACTATGCCAGCTGCAATCGCGGATGTTTTCAATCATAATTAGTGCCAGCAAATAGTACTGTACTTGGCAATTGCTTCAAAACAAGCGAAGCACGTTTTTTTTTTTGGGGGGGGGGAGCCAGGTGCTGGGAGCGATCCGCAAACAAGCGACCGTAATCTGACGCGGTCTTCGTTTGGACGGCAAGGAGGGTAGCTCAATGTCCTTCCAAGCTCCAGCCCCTAAAACCATGGCTGTTTCTGTGCACGCACGTACTACGCGAACATTCCAGCGCTCACGCTGCGCCAGTGCACTGACTAGTGCCGTTTGTCTACAGCAATGGAGTCGCTGGGATCGCCATCGCTGCGACGCTCGGTCTGCTTCCCCACCCCGCGGTTTCCGAACCTCCTTGAATTCCTAGCAACGGCTTCCACAGATTTCATCATGCAAACGCACACAAGTCATTTAACCCAAACAGATAACTCTTTGCCTAAGTACCTCACCACGGGCATTTGCAATGACTGAAGGGCAGCAACGCGACTTTGACGCCCCTGCCGTCGCACTCGTCGCAAGATGCACTTGGTAAGACAGCTGTCGAGCATCCTCTTTCTTCACTTCTCCTGACGATCGCAATGGTCGCATCTTCCCCACAGGCCATCTGGTTGAATCTCAGCATGTAGAGAAACGCTTAGCTTGGAAAGCACTCTGAAATTTTAGATTATCGACAGTACATTCTCCCAGGGCACTTCATGGCCTTCTCTCATTTCTTAATTCTTTGAGATAGTAGATTCTACTGCCATGTGCTAGCCCCTTGATTCACTTGGAAGACCCCGCGGCCAATCGGGTGGCCACCTACAGAAGCCTTTTATTTCTCTTTGTGTTGTTTGTATTTTGGATTGTTGTCCACGCCTCAGCGTTCTGTATTTACCTCCTTTCCTTGCTATTTTCAATTACCCTTCCCCGCTCAAAAACACCCAGATTTTCCCAAAGATTCCCCATCGGGAGCGCCTTACTGAGCCCTGACTGTCGGCCTGGGCGCCAGCCCTCCCAGGGGCGCCGTCGGCCTGGAGAGCGACTTCTTTAGCCGCTCGCTAGCCTCCGCGTTGCTCGCCGGATCGAACTTGTGCTTCTTGTACTCGATCTGGTACACTGTGCGCCAGTCGCTCATGGCGTTGAAACCCATGCGTCCAAGGGGCACACTGACTGCGCCCACTGCATCTCTGCCCTGCTTTGCTGCCTGCCTTGCAAACTGAGCAGACCGCAGGGCGTCCTTTCTCGATCTGCACGGAGGCTGGCAATTGTCGATGAGCCTTGACAAATTTTGTTGATATGAATACTTAACCGTTTTTTGAGCTGACAAAGGACCGCGCCGTATTGAACTTTGCTGCGATGCGGTTAGCAAATTGCACGGCGTTGCCCAATACAATGTGTTACATGACAATGCGTGTGATGTGCTGTACGCAGCTGCGACTTGCTGGGCCGCCTTGTACTCAACTGCACTGCGTTTTGCATTTTATGAATCCACCATCGCATCGAAAAGAAGACACATGCGGACTTTATGAACTTTTCTTCGATGTGTTGTAACCTTCAAGGCCAAATGGCAAAATTTGTCAAGCAAAATTGCCAAATTGGCAAACTTGGCAAGTGAATACTACATGGTGACTAAGTTGCCGCTGCTTTTCCGTTCAACTGCACGCAATCAGCAAGTTAATTGAATAATGGCATTTCAGTAGCATATTGAACAATGGATTTTGCGATAGCTCAATCTAGCAATGTTGAATACTTGGGTAACGTTAATTGATTTTGTGCATTTGACGTAGCAGTAGTGAAGGGAGTTGGCATGGATGCGCTGCACACCTCCTGTGACCAAATGTCCCGTGTTGATTCCTTGCCGGGTCGCCGGGAAGCGGTGGCCGAGCCTTGTACCCCGCCCGCACGGGAAAAGCCCTCCGACCTATGACATCTTGATGCGGCAGCACTGAACCAAACGAAGCTGTCAGTGTTGTTCCTGCAGACACTGCGCCTTGTTTTCTAGCGGCCATCGTCCGCCTTTGGCAGAAGTTGTCCTGGTAGCTCGTTGACTCAAATTCCGCGGGACCGGCCCAGCTCATGGGTACCTGGTACACACAGCTCAGGTGAAAACTGATATTCTTTTTAATACTGCGTGATGGGCTCCGCGAAAATGTGGTATCGTGGACCGCTCGAGAAATGTGACATCGTTGGAAGGAGGAAAGTACATCGCGGCCTTTTTTAATTAATGAATGCAATTAATAACTTTTGCAATTAATGAAAATTGTATATTAGACGAATGTTATGTTTCTGCGATGGGTGGCAATGGGAGGGCGAGGTATGTGCGATCGCTCAGAGCAAAATGGCCATTAATCGATTGGTAAATGAAATAATGAAAACCCTTGATTGATAGGCAATATATCTGCATACAATTATATGTTAATATACACGTTGCTAATATCACTAGGAAAAAAGGGCCAAATAGCACGTGTTCAAAAGTTTACGGTTTTGTGTTATTTTTGTGTTCTTATCATGCAGAACTTTGATGAAAAGTGTTTTATGTGTGTTCGCAAAAGCGTTATTTGACCCTTTTTTCCTAGTGATGTAGTAACAGAAAACAATTAAATTACGAGGATGTTCAGCTTCAGGAAATTGCGAAGGCGCTAAATTTATGGATCATATGAAATTTACAAGGTAAATGGAATGTGGCTTTCTGGACAGAACATGTCATTCGAATTACAAATATGTTCAATCACAATTGCAATCGCAATACCATGACAGCTTAGAAAATAATGAGGACCTTGTGTTCAAATTTGGCTGCTGTATTGTTTCACTGCAGGCGTATGTTGGCACCTGGCTTGTAAACGTCTGAACGTCATTCGCGACGGCTTCATTTTGCCTTGGTTTCGGTGCAGCTCGGGGCACTTCCGCCCATTTTTGACCTTCACCGCCTGAAGGCCCACCTGCGCACAGCTCCCGGCTATCCGGTTTTCCTCCAGCTATTTGTGGTCCACAGCCCTCTGGAATGTTTTCTTTGCTATACTCTTGCTTCTGCCATGCAAACTTAGGCGGCCGAGACGCCATGCTCTTGAAACCGCGGTGCAGGATATGACTGGTGCTCTTATTCCTGTGGCAATTTCGAGATCAACGGGTCAGATTGAACGGTATTGCACAACGGGAGTAACTCATGTGCAATGAATAGAATTGGTCTGTGCACTGATGTGTGAATGTGCTTTGGTTTAGTTGGTATTCTGAACCAGACAGTTTTCAGTTCGTGCGAAATCTTCAGAATCACTGGAGCCACTATGGCCGCCCAGTATCTAAAGACCTTCTGCAACCCCACAAGAAATCAATCTACGTATTTTGCTTGCCATGCATTTGGCACTCGCATTTTATTTACTTCATTTCAACGCTGAATCGTTCTGCATGTTTGAATCACGACTTCAAACACTTATTTGGTGTTCGCTCCGCTTCTTCCAAGCGCACCTGTCCGGTCTGACGACAGCCTGTAGGCCCCGAAAGACATCCACAATCTGCCTCTTTACCTCCAGGGAACCTTCCGACAAGATTCCATCCAACTTCTTGGACGCTTCCTCGCTCACAATATCTCCATAATACAGCTGGTTGCGCATCGCCCAGTCATAGAACCCCCTGGCTGACAAGCGATACACAAAAATGACGTTCGCGAATCAAATTGCCAAGATCCGGAAACTCTTGCAGCGATGGCAGTGATTTGTGCTCAATATTGACCAGCATTTTCTGGGAAAGTTCAGATATTGTTGCCCTAGACGCTGGTTGAAAATTTTCCCGTAATAATGACATGACGAATATTTGCGACCCCTTTTTACCCACAGATGCTGTTGCCGTTGCATGTGAACTGCCAGAAATCGAAATTTGTATGCCGCCCAATTAGATCC